TTCAACTTCACGACGAAGGATATTCAAGTCAAGGCTCAACTTCACGACGAAGGGGTCATCCGCGATTTCTCCACAACAGAGGATATCGTGCCATTGAGGCTCAACTCACGATGAAGGGGCTTCCTAATTTCAGAGCCAATTTCAACTTCACAGCGAATGATATTGGACTCAAGACAACACAAGTTCAACTTCACAATGAAGGGACGACTGGTTGTCAACAAACAATTTCCCAGTTTCAGAGCCAATTTCAACTTCACAGCGAAGGATATTGGACTCCAGACAACGCAAGTTCAACTTCACGACGAAGGGACCGCTGGTTGTCAACAAACAACTTCTCAATTTCAGAGCCAATTTCAACTTCACATCGAAGGTATTGGACTCAAGACAACACAAGTTCAACTTCACACGAAGGGACGGCTAGTTGTCAACAACATTTCCCAATTTCAGAGCCAGTTTCAACTTCACAGCGAAGGATATTGGACTCCAGACAACGCAACTTCAACTTCACGACGAAGGGACCGCTGGTTGTCAATAAACAACTTCCCAATTTCAGAGCCAATTTCAACTTCACAGCGAAGGATATTGGACTCCAGACACACAAATTCAACTTCACGACGAAGGGACGCTGCTTGTCAACAACAAACTTCTCAATTTCAGAGCCAATTTCAACTTCACAATGAAGGATATTGGACTTCAGACAACGCAAGTTCAACGACGAAGGGACCGCTGCTTGTCAACAACAACTTCCCATCTCAGAGTCAATTTCAACTTCACAACGAAGGATATTGGAATCAGACAATGCAAGTTCAACTTCACGACGAAGGGACCGCTGCTTGTCAACAACAACTTCCCAATCTCAGAGCCAATTTTAACTTCACAACGAAGGATATTGGACTCCGGACAACGCAAGTTTAACTTCACGACGAAGGGACCGCTGTTTGTCAACAAAATTTCATTCAGATTCAATTTCAACTTCACAACGAAGGATATTGGACTCGAGACAACACAAGTTAACTTCACAACGAAGGGACGGCTGGTTGTCAACAAACAATTTTCCGGTTCTAGAGCCAATTTCAACTTCACGACGGAGGATATTGGATTGGAACAATGCTACTTACTTGGATTCAACTTCACGACGAGGATATCCAACTAAAGAAGGATTATTTGCCATCAAAATTGTCGAGTTCGACTCCATTCAGCTCAATGACACATCAATCGCACTACTTTTCGGTTGCAGTCGAGGTTTTCAAGTCAAGGAGAGGACCTGGGTTAGCCGTGCCTTAGTGACAAGCAAACATTTCAAACAGCATAGCTTAAGTCAAGAAAAAGCTATCTGTCAATGAAGATTTCTCAGTTCTATTCCGATCCAAGGTCTTTAAACGAAGAGACCGAAGGGTACGGGAACCACGTGCTGATTCAAATTCCGAACTACGGCTTTAATTTCATATCATTTCAAGATGAACTCGACTTCACGATAGAGGAGTCATCCGTAACTCAATTCGACAAGGAGTTATTGAAACATCAGAGATAATTTTCAACTCCACTGAACGAAAAGTGTGTCTTTTAATCTTTGCCCTATCCCCGTTACACGACTATGGGCAAAGAGGGGCAGCTGTCAACACACATTTTTCGTCCTACTAGGATTCAAACTCCTAAAAATAGGATAGAATTTTAGGATTCAAACTCCTAAAAATAGGATAGAGTTCTACTATTATTTAAATTCCTAAAGATAGAATCCACAAGCACTATAAATAGCCATTGTAACTCACCATTGTAAGACACGATTAGACACAAAACATAGAGGAAAGCACGGGAAGATACAAAGGCAAAGCTATTGTAAAGGATTCGAAAAGGAAATAAAATGTACATTTTCTCCTTAGGATTCAAACTCCTAAAAATTAGAATTTTCCTAAAATAGGATAGAGTTCTACTATTATTTAAATTCCTAAAGATAGAATCCACAAGCACTATAAATAGCCATTGTAACTCACCATTGTAAGACACGATTTAGACACAAAACATAGAGGAAAGCACGGGAAGATACAAAGGCAAAGCTATTGTAAAGGATTCGAAAAGGAAATAAAATGTAGCATTTTCTTTTTTCTTTCTTTTGCATGTGCACGTTATTTTTCTTGAAATTTGGTTCGAATAATCCAAAACGTGGGTTGCGCCGATGACCAAAATGGGTGGGGTTTCGATGTTTCGAACTAGATCTACCCGAGGCTTATTTTTAAAAACCGATTTGATTTTCGGTTAAAGGAGGGGAAGAGTTTTTAAAAATCTATATTAGTTCATTTATTTATTATATGGATTTTATTCATTATTTTATTATTCATGTTATTATTATTATATGTATATATATATATTAAATTATTTTCATTTGATTTTTTTACTATATTTTATTATTATTTATATATATATTCTTTAATATTTTACTTATAAAGTCTAATATTACTATATATATTGTAATTATCTTTATCTAGTCGTATGTATTTTTTATACTTTTAATAGTTTTTTATATACATATTATTAAATATATATTCTTAATTATTTTTATTGATTATTTCTATTTATGTAATATATCTTATAACTTTATAACTTTATATTATTTTTTATTATTTTTGTTTTTTATTCATTATTATTATATTATTTTTTAAAAAAAAAACATTGTGTCTTTATCATTATTATTATTAAACATTATATTATATACTACTAACCTAGATGGCCTATTTTTGTCTTATTTCTTACTAAAGCCCCCACTTTCGGTGAATTGGGAGGGTAACTTTTTTATTTTTAAGTATTTGGTGTACATATATAGCTTATTTATTTTATTAATACTTTGATATATATATATATATATATATTTTATATTTTTTTCCTTTTTTCAAATATTACTATATATAATTATTACTTACTATTTTTTCTTATCTTACTTATTATTTTATTTATTTTATTTTTCTCTTGTATCTTATTTGTTTTCTTTACCTTGTTTATCTAACACATTTCTCGATTTTTTTTTCAAATCAATCAAGGGTAAGTAATTAGGATCGAAACTTTACCTTTTAATTTAACTTGTTATTTTTCTTAATTAAGACAACTGGAAATTACGTAGTACCGAAAGGGCGGTTCAAGGGCGCTAATCCTTCCTTGACCGTAACCGACTCCCGAGCTCGACATATTTCTGGTAAGACGCAGATCAGGTAAGAAATAGGGTATCCGATCAACCCATTTATTTTTAAATAAATGATCGGTGGCGACTCCAATCCACATTTTTCAAGCCGAAGCCCAATTCCGGGGCCCAACCGAAAGACGATTGCGACACCATGGAATAATCAACATGATTTTTTGAACTTTTATCAAAAATCATGTTCAACGTGATTATTTTAAACAAATGAGAAATATTGATACACAATCGGTATGGTGAACATATCAAGAGGTCATCTTTATCTTTATTCATTATAAAGAAATCTTCCTGACCGTTAGGCCTGTAAATAAACCGAACGCATACGAACGGAGGTATGTTCATGTTCGTTCATTTAATAAATAAACGAACACGAACATAAATGAACAATTTTTTTTGTTCATGTTCGTTTATTAAGGAATATAACTTGTTCATGTTCGTTCATTTAATAAATAAACGAACATAAACGAACACGAACATAAATGAACAAGAACATAAACTTTGGAGACACTACCTAGGGGTGTAAACGAGCCGAGCCGAGCTCGAGTATTGCTGAGCTCGACTCGAACTCGAAAACTTTCAAAGTCAACTCGACTTGACTCGAAAAATCGCGAGCTTAAAATTATCAAGCTCGACTCGAACTCGAATAGGCTCGAACTCAAAAAAAATTAAGAGCTCAATTAAAACTCGAGACTCGAGCTGGTGACACAGTCACATAGGGTTCCAGCGCATTGAATGTTGACTGTGCTGGATATGCAACTTATGGATCGTTCAAAAAGAACTAAACCATGTTAATATTGTTGGGTTTTCCAAATAAAATTGGGTTAATTATGGAATTGGTCATCATAATATCAGATTAATTAATATTTTTAAGATACTTACAAATTGGTCACCAAAATTGATTTAAGAAGATTGTGTTAAACATAAATGAATGAACATAACCGAACGAACATAAACGAACATAACCGAACAAACATAAACGAACATAACCGAACGAACATATCCGAGCGTTCACGAACGTAAATGAACGAACGAAACCTATGTTCATGTTCGTTCATTTAATTAAACGAACACAAAATCTTGTTCATGTTCGTTCATTTAATAAATAAACACACATAAACAAACTTCCCGCCGCACGGTTCATGAACGTTCAATTCATTTACAGGCCTACTGACCGTTATATAGGACTGTAAACGAGTCGAGTTGAGTTTGAGTATTATTGAGCTCAACTCAACTCGCAAAATTTAAAGCTGAATTCGACTCGAAAATTCGCAAGCCTAAAATTATAAGTTTGACTCGAACTCGAAAGCTCGTGCGCTTAAAATTTTCAAGCTCAACTCAAAATCCAAAATAGAAACTTGACTCGAGCTTGAAAAAACTTGAACTGAAAATCTTATCAAACTTAACTCGATTGACGCTCAAATTAGAACTTGATTCAAACTTAAACTCAAATTCAAACCTAAACCTTAAGTATATTAAAGTCTCATATTGTATTTTAAAAAAAACATATAAATATTAATATTATTAATAATTTAATTTAAAAAATTAAAAATTTAATATATTTTTTTCGAATTGCTCGCGAGCTTTTCGAGTCAAGTATCAATTAGCTTACTCTGACTCGTTAAGAACTCGAGTCGAGTCCATTCTATTCGAATTTTGACTGAACTTTAACCAAATCAAACTCGAATAGCTCACAATCTATTTCGTCTCATTTACGTTTCTACCCTTACAGCATCTTTTCGTATTTCTTCAGTGATACAAATCTCATACATTAGCAAAGATACAAAGGGTTCTCACTAAGAAATAGAGATTCTAAGAAGAAATGGTTACAAATCTTGATCCAAAAAACAGCTACCGAAAGAACAATGAATTCTCCAGCAAAATAGCCAATGATGCAACAGGAAAGGAAGAACAAGGCAGGGCAAAGTACCTTAAATCCTGCTAAGAACTTTCTCGGCCGCCGCAATCGTCTTTTCGATGTCTTCGGAAGAATGTGCCAAGCTTGTAAATCCGGCTTCGAACTGTGATGGTGCTAAGTACACACCTTCTTCAAGCATTCCCCTATGAAACCTGGCGAACTTTGCAGTATCACTCTTCTTTGCATCATCAAAGTTGTGAACAGACCCTTCTGTGAAGAAAAACCCGAACATCCCACTGATATGCCCTCCACAGATTGCGTGTCCCGTCTTCTTTCCGGCATCTAAAATGCCTTGAACAAGTTCTCCGGTGATCTTATCCAAGTATTCGTAAGTTCCCGGCTCTTTCAATCGCTTAAGGGTATGTATCCCGGCAGTCATTGCCAATGGGTTCCCACTCAAGGTCCCAGCCTGGTACATAGGCCCTGCAGGTGCCACCATTTCCATAATCTCCCTCCTTCCTCCATATGCACCAACAGGCAGACCACCACCAATTATCTTCCCTAGGGTTGTTAAATCTGGAGTTATGCCGAAATACTCCTGTGCCCCACCATAGGACAGGCGAAATCCGGTCATCACTTCGTCAAATATGAGGAGGGCGTCGTTTTCCTTGGTAAGGCGACGTATGGCTTCAAGGAAGTCTGGTTTAGGTGGAATGAAGCCAGAGTTCCCAACAACGGGTTCAAGAATAATGGCTGCAAGTTCACCTTCGTTAGTGTTAAAGAGACTTTCGACGGCGGATATGTCATTGTAAGGGGCAGTTAGAGTTTCAAAAGTTGCTGCTTTTGGAACACCAGGAGAGTCGGGCAGTCCTAGGGTAGCGACTCCACTACCTGCCTTGACAAGAAATGGATCAGCATGGCCATGGTAACAACCCTCGAACTTGACGAGCTTTTCTCGGCCGGTAAACGCACGCGCGAGCCGCAGCACGCCCATGCAAGCTTCTGTACCCGAGTTTACAAACCGTACCATTTCGATGCTAGGCACGGCGGAGATTACCATCTCGGCCAAAACATTCTCGAGAAGACAAGGAGCGCCAAAGCTGGTTCCTTTCTTCATTGTTTCGGCCAGAGCAGCAAGCACCTGCAGATATTTGCAAACCATGGAGAATTATCATCAATGCTCTCCATTACCGACCAAACAACTCCTGGTTGAACATAATGCATCATCATTGACATTGCATCCAACATAACACAAAGAAATTCAAGTCAAAATGCATAATTAATTGGGTAGTTCTGCTATACGGCAGCCTAACCTGATCATCTGCATGACCGATTATTGCAGGTCCCCAGGAGCCAACGTAGTCAATATACTGGTTACCGTCAATGTCCCACATGTGAGAACCCTTGACAGAATCAATCACAATTGGTTGTCCACCAACAGATTTAAAGGCACGGACTGGGGAATTTACACCTCCTGGCATCAGATTCTGACCAAAAATAGCTCTTACACGAGTCAGTGCAGAAATACACTTAAAAAAACATTTACCCAAAGTAGGATATGAAATAAGAAAAAGACAATATATGCATAACTAATCGAGTAGTAATGTTTTGCGGTGGCCTAATTTAAAATTAATTTTCGGTGAATTTTAATTTAAAATATCACTTTTTAACTTCAAAAATTATATAATTGATAATAATTTTCATTATAACAGAGAACGTTACATTGTGACGGATTTTAATCTAAAATATTATTGTCTATTCTAGAAAGTTACACAATCAATTTAGATCGAAAATATATTTACATTTCCTATTGCAACCAAAATAATTATACAATTTACGTCGCAATATCTTCCATTTCAACAGAAAATGTTACCCAGATTGTTTTAAAGAGTTAAGCTCTTGGTAAAATTTTCGATTACAAGTTTACGACAGATATCTTTGTTTTTTTAATCTTGTATTAACCGGTTCATTTTAGACTTATCCATAACTAATCAGAAATCAAACATGCTAAACTTGTTATCAATTCCGCCAACCCCAAACAAACCCAGATTGAGAATCAACCGAATGGCTTGAATTTCAACAAAAGAAGGCTTCACTTGGCAGGATTAAAAGTATGCAGTAGTAAGCAGAAGAACAACACAAGGGGAAGAAGAGAGAATTACCTTGGCAGCGTTGAAAGCTTCTTCAGATTTCTGAAGGGAGTAATTCTTCTTCTTATCTTCAACAGAAACAGTCATCTTGACGCGGAAACCAGAGGATTGTGAAGAATGAAGAGGCTTAGAAAGGTTGGAAGAACAAGATAGGCCTAACCCAACTCCAATTCCGCTCATTGAAGCCGCCATCTTTGCTCTTTGTTTTTGTCCTCCCCCTTGTTTGCTTCTCAGTGATCTTCTTTTAGGCAGTCTCAAGAAGAAGATAAGAACATGGTGAAATTGTAAGAAAGAGCAGCCAATAGCAAACCAAGGAGTCCACTTATGGCCGTGACAGTAGGATACACTGAACCGGATTGGGTGGACCAATTATCAAAATATGTGGGCTGACTTCCATAGAACCCTATAATTGGACATTGACCCATTACAACTTTTTTCCTTTTCAAGTATAAGATGTCACTAAATTATGTTTAAAAATGATCCTTTTGATCAATAAATTTTAAATATATATAAAATAATAATTAATTTATTAAATCTGTAAAATGATTATTATAAGGTTATAATAAATTATAAAATTTTAATAAATTTAATGATCATTTTAAACATTTCAATAAATTTACAGTAAACGACAAAAATGGCAATCAAACTTTTAGAGTACTTGCTTTTTGGTCACTCAACTTTTAATTTATTTTCATTATGGTCAATATTGTTAACTTCCTTTAAAAGTGCTAACTAGGCAGTTAAAGTCATCCCCCATCCCCCGCCCAAAAAAAACCCTAAGTTTAGCAGACTATTTGGCAGTCATCTATCTCCTTTGCTTATGTTGACCCTCTATAATATTTTTCTGATTGTCGTCACCTGATTATTATATATATAACACAGTGCATGATATTAGAAAGGTTTGAGAAGCCATTTCAATTATTATGGTGAGGTAGGATCATTGTGGTGTATTATGATATGTCATCAATTCATGTTACATGTATTCATGGTACCGTAAATGAGTTACGTCTTCGGGTTTGTCTATCTTGCATAGAGTACTCCGTGTTGATGTTGGGTGTGGACTTTCGGGTTCTTCAATCCATCAGAAGCCACTCTGCTCGACGTTGAGTTAGTACTATGGTGCGTTTGGACCTACGGGTTCGTCCATCATAGCGGAACGATTCCGCAACAGTGTTGAGTTCCATGATTCGCATCACCTAGATAGATCTATATTATATTTACTTCGGACATCTCTAATGATGTGTTGTGATAATGTCATTAAATGATGGTATTATAACATGATGTTATTAAAGATTGTATGCATGATATATTTACACATGTTAATGATACAATTATACTGAATAATTCGAATAAGATAACTTTCGTATAATTATCTATGAAAATATCATTATGGAAATTACCTCAAGGGACGAGAGGTCTATTTTGGATTGAGTAATTAGTGTACATGATGCATGATGAATTTATGAACATCGTGAATACGAACATGAAAAAAATTAGAATATATGTGTACCATTAAGTTTTTGTTAGCTTTATCATTTAGATTTTTCCATTCATAAGTTACAAGTTTCAAAGATTATGACAGAACAACGAAATCGTCAAAGGAGTCTTGCTGGAAGTATTAAAAACTAACTTTCTTAATGATTACAATGTAACCTATTGATAATGCATACACACTATAGGTACAACTGCTCGAAATTAAAATATATAGAAAAGGCATAATGCAAACAAGTACCCCCTAACGTTTGACCATATATGCAATTTTGCCCAAATTGTTTTTTTTTGGAACATTTTCCCACATTTCATTTTAGGTCAAAAGTACCCTCGTTGGATGAAAACCGTTAGTCAACTGATGGTCAACGCCTGAAGCTGACTCAACAAGAACATGTGGAGGGATATGCTGACGTGGCATATTCATATCATAGTAAATGATGACATGGCAGATCCACGTAGACTAAATGCTGACGTGGCATGTACACATGTGATGCCATGCCATCATTTTTAAAAAAATTAATTAATAATAAATAATTATTTTTTACTAAATTAATAATATGAACCAATCAAATGTTGTCACGTGACACATGAATTTTTTATTAAATTTAGAAAGGAGAGATTAAACCTCCACAAAATTTACAATCCATGGGATTTGAACTTGGGTCTAAAGGAAGAAAGCCTTGAAACCTAACCATCAAGCCAAGTGACTTGGTTGTTATTAAATGGCTAATAACAACATTTTAAAGTATATTATTGCCATCAAAACCACCATTAACACAAACACTTTTTTTAAAATTATAAAATGGCTGTCCCTTTTCCCCATATGTATGGGGTAAGGGGGAGGTAAGATAATAGGCTACCCCCAACACCAGATTGAGAGCAACTTCTGTAAGAGGCCTCCGAATTATGAAATGCCCTCCGTGGGACTCGATCCCACAACCTCAAGGTTAAGAACCTTGTGCTCTACCACTGAGCTGGATGATCATTTCCTTTTTTTTTAAATTATAGTTAGATTTAAATTGTTAGAATTATTTGAGTCAATTTAAATTCATATTTAAAATTTTAATTAGTTTTAAGTTTATAACTAATTAATATAAATTTATTCATTTGTTTATTTTTATTGAAAATTTGTATTAATTAGTTATAAATTTAAAATTAATTAAAATTTTAAATATAAATTTAAATTGACTCAAATAATTCTAACAATCTAACTATAATTAAAAAAACTGCTTGTGTCAAGGCTTTCATCATATAAACCCAAATTCAAATCCCATGGATTGCAAATTTTGTGGAGGTTTAATCCCTCATTTTTTAAATTTAATAAAAAATTCATGTGACACGTGGTAACATATGATTGGTTGTTATTAATTTAATAAAAAATAATTATTTATTATTAATTAATTTTAAAAAATGTTGATGTGACATCACACGTGTACATGCCACATCAACAAAATTCATGTGCCACGTGGCAGTATCTGATTGGTTGTTATTAATTTAGTAAAAAACATTTATTTATTATTAATTAATATTTTTAAAAATGATGATGTGACATCACACATGTACATACCACATCAGCATTTAGTCTACGTGGATCTGCCACATCATCATTTACTATGATATATACATGTTATGCCAGCATCTCCTTCCATATGTTCTTGCTGAGTCAGTTTCAGGCGTTGATCGTCAGTTGACTAACGATTTTCATCTGACAATAGTGCTTTTTAACCCAAAATTAAACGTAAGAAGATCAAATATTCCAAAAAAAAAAACAATTTAGGCATATATATAGTCAAACATTAGGGATATTCCCTATAGAAAAAATAACCTTTCTTACATTAGTATTTCCTATTCGTACTCAACAAAGTCAAGGAAATGCATTAAAAGAAGTAAAAATAAATGGAAAGTTTTGCAGGCAAATCAACAAGTGACAAGTCTAAGGTCTTGTCCTCCACTGGTCTGCGTTTAAGGTAACGTCATAGAGTTGGATCCAAACACGTTTAAGTTTGCTATTAGTTTTACTGATGGGAATGTATATCCATTCATGTAATCTTTGTGCAGATAAATACTTGTATTTCTATATGGTTATTGCGTTTCCCTTTGTCTTTATCAGTTTCCATTGCGTCAAACTTTATACTCTCGGAAAGTTCTTGCATGGTGGAGGTTTCATATGTAGTCGGATATGGATTATAAATATTGAAATACTAAAATCAGTTATTAATAGTGATTGAGTCACAATATTTTTTAAAAATGACATTAATATTTTTTAGTAAATAAATCTTGTTATACCTTCTCTGTCGGTCACATTAGGTTTCATCTCTTGAGTTTTATGTATTCGGAGTTCCATATAATTCGATCAACTATGATCTTATGATGAGATTTTTGATAAATCCACGTGATCTGCTATCTACTATCTGATAAACAAATCTATTTAATCTATCAACCTATTAATAGTCATGATGACACTACACCTAACACCAACCCTAGATATCACTATATAAACCCTATATCAAGTACAAAGGGACTTCTTCTTGGTTTAGACTCTCTCTCTCTCTCTCTCGATTCTCCTTAATCTCTTTATCACGAACGTTATCGGCCCATCAACATATCATCATCGGTTTCATCTCTAGACCGAAATCAAAATAGGTGAATTGAATCATGATAATTCGAATCATAAAACTCTAACATTATTCTAAACCTCCATATGGTTGCATATTTTACATTTTCGTTTACTTCCATTAGTGGAAATTAGAGAAAACAAAAGTTGAGAAGACTTCCAAAAAAATCACCTAACCTGGCTCCATACAAAGTCTTCTCCAAGTGTTAACTACAACCAGTATATCCTACAAAACAAAAAGCTTATCTCAACATGCTTATCTTTAGTCTTTTACCTATACTACGTTCCCAACTAATCCTCCTTTTTCATTTAATTACTTCCATTTCTTATGAATTTTAATTATCATATGTTTATCAGTTTCATGTTCTGAACTATTATGTTTATCTTATTTCTCCAATTGCAGACAATGGTGTTGAAGACATAAACAAGTGGCCTCTCTTTGTCTTCCATGTTGACCTTTTTTTAAAGCAATTTATATTCAAAATCAACCAGCCTTGATATATATGCATGATTATCCACTGAGAAAGAACCATCTGGGATTCTGGGGTCAAGTCGGAATGGATGTTGAAAAGATGAAACGGAAGAAAAACGTGCTGCTAAAGGCCTGGGAAAGATGCAAGAAATCATCTGGGACTCCACTGATGAGAAAGAGCAAATCACTGCGTATTTTCTCATCCATGGAAGAAGACAACATGAAGAAGAAGAATAAGTGGTCTCAAGTGGCACCAGAAGGGTGTTTTTCAGTGTACGTTGGACCCCAAAGGCAAAGATTCGTGGTCAAGACCGAGATGGCCAACCATCCATTGTTCAAGGTGTTGCTTGAGGATGCCGAGCTCGAATATGGGTTCAACAGTGAAGGCCCCCTTCTTCTTCCTTGCGACGTTGGTTTGTTTTATAAAGTTATGGCAGAGATTGATGATAATGGAGATGGAGAAATTATAACTACTTTTGTTTGCAGCTTTGGTTCTCGTCATCATCGTTCAAGAAGCATCAATAAAGGATACGGAACGTATAAGCTTCTTTGTCCATCTCCTATGATTAAAATGAATAGTTATCAAAGTTGCTGATTTTTACGATAATTTTCCCTTTTTTACTTGGGATTGGGTCTGGGAAGATCATGTGCATGCATCAATGTAATTGTACTATACATAAAGTTTATCGGAACTTGTATAAAACTATTTTTTAAGCATTTTCATCATCACATCATTATTTTTTCAAGCTAAAAGTTAGCGAGTGTGTTGGTGCTGGGCAATGCTTAAATTAATCGTAAATGGGTCCATCATTGGAAAATTAATATATAAACAAGAATATGAGAGTTTATTTACATAATTCAGATCAATCAACGATTTTATTTCTATATAGTTTTGTTCAGAAATAAATCTATTATAATATTCTTATTAAAAAAGTACACAAATATCCGACGAGTTTAAGACAATTATATTCTAGCCGTCAAAGTGTCCCATAAATTTTAAACAATACAAATCATAAATGGGCCCAATTGAATGAACATAAAATTTGAAGAACCCAATTGCCTACCAGTTTCAAATTGTTTTCAGTTAAAAACAAGTGGGGAAATGTTTTTTTTTAATCAAAATGTAATGATAGTTTCATCTTTGAAACCTCTGCCCGATAAAATAAACATAGATGTTCACTATGGCAAATCTCATCTACAAGGCTACAACCATACATACTACTACAATTAAGTTACCTCAAGAGTCATCAACTCGCATGTTACAATCCCACTATCTAAAATCACTAAGCCAATTCTATAATAATTCTATCACAACTGAAAATCAAATCCCATGACCATCCACATCTCACAAGTTACATATGGCCAAACTAATCATCTCCATCACTATCTTTATCCGCTCCACCGCCTGTATCAGCATTCTCCTCGCTTTCTTCCCCTTCCTCATCCTCATCTGTCATGTTATTTATCACTTCCGTAATAATGTCCTTCACCTCGGCTTTCCGGTGCATCAAATCCAGCCCAAAGTGTGCACCTGAGATAATCCAAATCTTATAATTATTCATGTATACAAATTTATTTTGTAATTTAAATACTTTAACAACATACGGTGAAGCATACCCAGTTGTCGAAGGATATCAGATAATGTTGCCTGCATCATCAGAACACAATTTTAGTACTAAAACCCTGAATTTAATTATTTCACCTCCAAATTAAACAGAGAAAGAACTAAAGATATTTTTTTTGGATAAATAAAAGAACTAAAGATTCTTACAGTGTTGAAGTCCACTTTTTTTAGAACATCTACCACTACATCATGAATCTCTTCCCTGGTAGGCTCGGGTTTAGGTTTCTTACCACTTTTTCCTTTACCTGTCGCAACAGCATAAACACAAACGCATTGAGTAAAAGATCAACAAAACGCTTCAAATATCCCTCTTCTTTTAATATTATAAAAACATAAAACATCCATATTTAGCAAAACCTACCTTGCGACTTTGCAGAAACCTTTTCTGTTGACTTGTTTGTTTGCTTCTTGCCAACAACCTTGTCTTTGGTGGAACCACCCTTAGAGCTTTCCTTTTCAACCTTTGACTTTTTTGACGCAGAACCCTTTGATTTAGAACCAGAAGTTCCACCATCACTGACATCTTTCTTTGAAGTTGATCCAGGTGATTTTTTGCTGGATTTTGCAGGGGTAACCTTCTTTCCGGGTGTGGACTTATCCTTGCTTTTTGACTCGGGACTCTCCGTTGCAGTCTTTTTTGAAGTACTTTTTTCGCTAGACTTTTTGGGCTCTTCTTCCTTCTCTGACTTAGTTTCTTCATCATCATTCTCTTCTTTAGGAGTAGTGTCAGCATCATCTTCATGCGAATCTCTAGAGACAGGGGATTCAACTTTACCAACATCTTCTTCCTCAGCTTTGGATGAACGCTTATGCTTTTCCCCACCTTGGGGTGCTCTTTGCCGCTTCAGTGGAACAAATTTTGAAACAAAATAACAAGCATCAAGCACTCTCAGCCCAAAAAAAAATCCAGAAAGTAAAAATAGAGCAAAGACAAGAAAACAGATAAAATGAGGGGAAATTATCATCCTTAAGCAGTGATTCCCAGCTAGTTTCCTTATCTTTAATCTGGTAGATATTTACTACCTCTTTTTTCCTCTCTTTGAGAAAACAAAGTTTGTAAATGGTTTTGTTTGCTAGGCAACATCTATGGACATAGCTGCATACGTAAAAATGTTTTAACCCCCTAAACAAAAGGGGGGGGGGAACACAAGTATTCTTGTCCATGCAACTTACAAGCACCAACACTCATCTGCAAGTGGAACATCATAGCAAACCATACCAAGTGAAATGCACACAATGAACCTTAGCAAGTACAATAATGAAAATAATCACAAGATTCAAGAAAACAAAATAATGCAGAGAAATTGATATAAACTAAAAACAAACACAAGGTTTTTCCCACAAACACATAGGAACCACATTCCATTGAAGATCATTCATGACTTGGCAAGTGAAGAATCATAATTTATTCTGAGTCTAAAAGTAGTCATGGGAAAATCACTCCAACCTTTAATCAAACCACCAAGAGTGTCTATAACCCAAATAAATGGACTATAGAAGAAGCAATATGTAATGAGAACAAAACCTCAAATATTTTTGACAAACTTCAATGAACATATAACAATGAATAATCTCCCCATGAATGGACTAAAGACAATAAGTTAACACCTATATTCACAATACAAATCCAATAACAGAAAACACAGACACAGCAGCCAGTAAGATTTCATAAAACAAACTAAATAGAAATGGTAGATCAAGTCTTGAGAGCACCAACTTTTGATCAGCCAATATCAATTACCAACCCTTGCAAAAACAAGACAACAGTTCTTAAACTTCATTCTTATCAGCCAAAAAGAAAATTTACCACATCACATTGATCAAAGCAATTTTAAACTCAGCCCTGGAGTAAAATGATACACAATGAAAGAAATATTTAGAAAGAAATAAGATGGAATCAATAAAATATAAAGTACATAACAGAACATGCATACATTCAGAAACAAGCACTACCCAATAAGCATAGAAAGATAAAATAGATAACAAAAGGATATATATATATATAAGGAGCAAAACAAAACAAGACAAACCTTGGCAGATGTATCTGATGCCTCCCCAGAACCAATGTTTTTGCTTGGTATAGCTTTACGCTTTTTACCCTTCTGAAACAAGGATAAAGAATCTCATTCAGATCCAAGCTGACAATTAGTCATGCCAAATACTTCATAACATGCAAAAGAATTTCAAGTAGCATTGCACCTCTTCCTTGTCAGCAAGAAGAATGTCAGTAGTAGCATGGGGTGACTCTAAAAACTCCAATAATTTGGCAGAGACTTCCTCCTTCAAAAGAGAAATGAGTTACACTCAAATAAACAAGCAAAGTCATTACATAAACAATGGTACATTTTATATATTTCTTACTGACCTTTCTTACAGTGGCCTTGGCAATTGGAATATTCAGCAAATCACAGAAATCAACCAGTTTTTCTTTAACACACTTTTCAATTTTTTCCCTTACTTTTGCTTTTGGTTTTTCCTGCTGAAAAAACAAAAAAGCAATGGACATTAAGAGATTTCCACTTAATGAATAACAGCTCATTCGCAAGGTCAAACATGGGCAATGTATCTTCAATTAAACCTATTTTTACTTCATGAAATGCAACAAAAGAACCAAGCAGACAGACAACAGGGAATAAAGAAACAAACTTTTACAAGATAAAATAAAATACCTCATTTTCAACCCAAACATAGCCCGAAAATTGGCCAATGTTTCTCTTCAAACTGTAAGGCTGTAGATGGAAAAAATATAATTAGTACCCAAAAAAGGTATAATGGAACAACAAGACAATACAACTTCATCACCTTTGCTTTCTTTCCAAAGAGTATCACATGAAGCATTTGCAGATTGTCATCAGCTTTTCTCTTCGACAGTTTGAAGGCCACTGAAACAAATTACAAAAACCAGAAAATAAATAGGCCAGACTCTGCAGTAGCAAAAATGTTCAATAACCATAAACTGCTAATCTTGACAGTAGTCAGATACAACTCATCCACAAATTTCCAATCAATTACCTTTAAAATTCCTTCCAAGCATGACACTCCACAATGAAACTATTGGAATGAAAGAGGCTAACATAGTAGCCCAAAAGTTGAAAAGAAAATAATTGAAAACATTATCAGCAAGAATCAATTACGTTATCAAAGCAGTTCAGAAGTGTTAACATTTATCTGATTTTACAAAATTTTAAGTTTTTAGAGTTTGACCAACGATTCCTCCATTCCAAGTATTTATCATATCACTCATCAAAACTCAAGACAATCAAAATGGTAAACAACGCATGGCAACCAATTAACCTTATTTTAATGCTTTGAATGTCATTACTCACATCTCTATTGACAGGTTCCAAGGAGACTGGTTGATCTGCTTCCTAAAATATAAGACCCAAATGCATAACTAACAACCAAGTATCAGATAGTTTGCATCACCAGAAAACAAAATGCACTTCAGCTATTGTTAAGAACCAAATATAACTAAGTTATACAGTGTAGTAAGTTTATAACCTATAACACATAACATAAAAATAACCCGAAATTGAATACAGATCAAAGCTTAATCAGATCCCTCAAAATTCAAATAAAACATTTAACAAAGAGAGTAGACGCATACCATTCGGAATATCTTTAAGTTGAGTGCCGCGACCCTGAAAGCAAGTCAGATGTTTGGAGTGAGAATGAGGAAAATGGAGTGAAAAGGAAACCGAATTCTTAACGAGAACAATACCTTTTCAATTGAAAAAGATTTGGCTGAGGAAGACCTGGCAACGGAAGGAGCTGAGTACCTTTCCACGACTTTCCTTTCCCTTGTAGGCCTATCACTACTCGGTGTCACAGGCTCTTTTTTCTCAGCCGAACCTCGACTGGGTTTCCTTGAGCTTCCCTTTCGACCACTACCTTTAGCACTTTTAGTTCCTTCATCTCCGCTGTCTTCTTCCTCTTCCTCCACTTCTTTCTCTTCCTCTTTTTCCACTTCTTCCTCTTTCACTTTCTCTTCCTCCTCTTTCTCGTCAACTTCCATTGTTTCCTCAGTTTTCTGAGAATCATTTTTTACGGAAACCTCCTTACATTCCTCACCGTTTCCCTTCTCTATCTTTTCCTCATCTTTTCCTTTAACCGGAGTAGCCTCCTCTTCCTCCGTTTTTTTCTCGTCTAGGGTTTCCTTCGCCATAGAAACCACCAATCAAGCAGCAGAAAAAAAGGAAGAGAAACTTCGGTTTCACCTAAAACCCTAAAATTAAAAGTAAAACCCTAATAGATCAAGAGAGAGGGAGTAGAAAAAGTGCAGAGCAGTGGAACGAAAGAAGGAAAATCAAAGTGTTTGGTGTATTGAATTTCTTATTTGTAGGTTAGAAATTGGGGAAATTGAGATCAAAGATTTTCGTTTTCGTTAAGGCACGCTATGGAGATGAGAATAAGAGGGAGGAACGAGCGGGCAACCAAAAATAATTTTTCGAGAGAGCGGGATTCCATTCTCCTTTTCCCTCTTCATTTTGGATTTAATATCAAATAGAGTAAATTGTACATTTAATACTTTTACTATCACTCTTGTTTTATTTTGATCATTCAATTATTTTTTTAAACCATAGTTAACATTGAATTTTGATTTTGTTTTGATCACCCGTCGTTAAAAATTAACAAAAAATATTGGGTGGTATTTTTTATTTTTTTCAATGACATTATGTTATGGTGGCATATCAGTGTTACCTTTATTTTTTTAACGATGGGAGACCAAAATAAAACTAAATTAAATGTTAGGTATGATTTTGAAACAAAATATAGTTTATTGACTAAAATGGAATAAAATTAATAGCTGAGATACTACATGTGTAATTTACCCTATAATAAATGTGTTTGTAAATACTTTATAAAGTATTTTTTTGTATGTCTAAAATTATTGATTATTCAGAATAATTACTTAAAATTATTTTTAGTCAAAATATGTATTTAAAATATTTAATTTAAGTATCTAAGTACATAACGTATTCTTTAAATTATGTTATTTGTCAATATTTTTATTGGATAAAAAATTGAATATTTTAAGTATATATTTTAGTAATAAAGTATTTTAGTACTTATTTTGATAAAATAAATAATTTTAAGCACTTACTTTGACAAAAATACATTATATACTTAGATGACAGAATTAATATATTTTAGATACTTATTTGTAATACAAACCTAAAATAAATATTTAGGATTGTTTGATTTCTTAAAAACGAATTAAATTTCTTAAAAACGAATAGATGTGTTCTTGACATAGAAATGTTTAATATTTAGGATTGTTTGATTTCTTAAAAAAGAATTAAAATTTGATTTTTTTTTGTTTTCTCCTAAAATTAGTCAATGAGGATAAATATGAGCGTTCATTGTCAAACAGTTAATTTTTTTAAAATAAATATTATATTGTATTTATTCTGCATTTATAAAAAAAATTATCCTAAATATTTATTTGTTATAGAAATAATTCATTTCATGTCGATAAAAAGTTGAAAAAAAAGTTGAGAGTATATTTTTTAATGATAAATTTATCTAATATCTTATCCACATTAATTGATATAATATGATGAGACATTATATCTTTTAATTAAATTTATGATTTTGAATCTTGATGTTGTAAATTGAATTTTCTTTTATGAATATCACTGTTATAATGAATCCGCATAATATTTGATTAAGATTAATTGATTAATAAATCAAATATAATGATAATAAAAATAGAATTAAGGCACAAATCTAACGACACTAGTAGTTATGAGATTATTGTTATTCATTGAGATTTTAAGTTCGAGCATTATGTTTCTAAGAGTATATGAGTTATTATTATTAAATGATTTAGAAAGCGTCCGTAAAGCCCATAATTTTTCAATCGCTGGCCCAAATGAGAGCCTTGTTCTAATATAAACCCTAGTTGGTCTTCGCATTTCCTCCGTCCTTCATTGGTTTTCCTCTGCCGCTCTTACTCACAAAAAAGCTCGGGAGAAGCTTTAGGAGTTGCTGAAAATGGTAAATCTCAAAATCTCATTTCACTTAATCATCTTCTATTACTATGCATCACCTTCATTCTCTGCTTGTTTTTTGCTTTGGGTGTTTTTTTTCTCAGTTTTCTTCTTCTATTTGAAATGTTTTTGAGATTTCAATTAATGTTTTATGAAATCTATTTAGCCGATTAACGCTTGAGAGTGAATCCCTGGTTTAGAATTTAGATACTATTTGTAAAATTTATATGATAGCTCTTTCTACAATGTACTAAACATGTATTACATTGGAAGAGTTGTATAATTCTTAATTCAGCTAGAAGATCTAATTTTTGTGTTGCTATGTGAGATATGAGTAACTTCGCTGTTAAATTCTCTAGGTGAACTTTATTTAAGTTATATTCGTTATATAAATATAATGGTTTGAAGCCTTGTTATGTATCAATGCCCTTATTTATAAGGGTTTATTTTTCTATTTTTATTAACCTCGTTTTTAAATGCAGGCTCCGAAGAGAGGTGGAAAGGTGGCAGTTTCCGCCAAGAAGAAACAAGTAAATTTTCATTATTTTCTTTACACCTAAACCTCCTAGTAACATGATTGTGGTCTCACCTTCCATTTGTTATTTTGATTTTTAAATATTAGGAGAAGGTTGTCAATCCGTTGTTTGAGAAGCGTCCAAAGCAGTTTGGTATTGGAGGGGCTCTACCTCCTAAGAAGGACCTGCATCGATTTGTGAAGTGGCCTAAGGTTGTTCGCATTCAAAGGAAGAAGAGGATCCTCAAGCAGCGGTTGAAGGTTCCACCAGCATTGAACCAGTTCACCAAGACACTCGACAAGAACTTAGGTCTGCACTAAAATCTTTGTTTGTTTCCTATTTATGTATTAGTTTTACCATGTCTGATATGAATGAGTTCTGCCATTACAATTTTGTTTCATGTTAACTTTGCATGGATGTTTGTATGGTATGAGTTTGGGGAAATGGATTTGTAATGTAAGAAAGTTATTTTAAATGCATCAGTTCGGACTGTTCTCCTGATAATTTTTTTATTTGGGAAAAGGAATGTCGATTGGAATTGTGGAAATTGGTAAATGTTGGAGAATTCCCACATTGACAACATGGTAAAGGTCACTTTTTGAATTTGTGATAGGTTATTGAAGATGGTGATTGTTGAATTTATAATCTGGTTTTAAGTGTTGTTTGAACTCAAGATATTAAGTGCATACATACAAAATTGTTTGTTACTGTTTATGTTTATACTTATTCTGCTATGTTTGCTCTTGCATTTTGTTGATTACCTGCACATTTTTTATAGCCTCTTGCATCCATGTTCCCTGCACATTTCTTGCTGTAGATTATCTTTTCTGTTTATAATGGTTGGGATGATGTTTAATCATTAAAACCTGGTTATCTGGTGTCCTGTTACAGCAACAAATTTGTTCAAGTTACTCCTCAAGTACAGGCCGGAGGACAAGGCAGCCAAGAAGGAACGTCTCCTGAAAAAGGCCCAGGCCGAGGCTGAAGGCAAAGCACCTGAGTCTAAGAAACCAATTGTTGTGAAATATGGTCTTAACCATGTTACATACCTTATTGAGCAGGTTGCCCTTTAATTTCTTTGTATTTCATCGGTTTAGCAAGTGCGGTACTGTACTTTTATCATTTTGAAGCACTTCAAAATAATATTTCTTTCATAATATCCTCTGCAGAATAAGGCACAATTGGTCGTTATTGCTCATGATGTGGATCCCATAGAGTTGGTAGTGTGGCTCCCGGCTTTGTGCAGAAAAATGGAAGTCCCTTACTGCATTGTTAAGGGAAAAGCACGTTTGGGATCGGTTAATTTCTACCGTATTTCCTAACTTTGCTGCCAAATTACAGAGTTAATGAGAACGTACTTATTTGTGATTGTCTAATACTGCAGATTGTCCACAAGAAAACTGCTTCCGTCTTGTGCTTGACCACTGTTAAGAATGAGGATAAGATGGAATTCAGCAAAATCCTCGAGGCAATCAAGGTAAGAACATGCCTGCAATATATTTGAAGTAATTTATGTTGAAGTTATACATTGTTTTATCCACTTCTGCATTATATTGCAGGCCAACTTCAACGATAAGTACGACGAGAATAGAAAGAAGTGGGGAGGTGGAATCATGGGCTCCAAGTCACAAGCCCGAACCAAAGCCAAGGAGAGGCTTCTTGCAAAGGAAGCTGCACAGAGGATGACTTAAGAGGAACGACACACCTTTAGTCATGGTTTATGTTTTGATTAAATAGTCTTTTGTAGTAAGTTACAATCAAATTTCGACTTGTTCTACTCTTTTCCCTTATCAACATTGATATCTATTTTTGTGGTTGAACTTTCTAGTGCCTAGAATCTGCTGTTTGCGGTGCAGTTGTGTTTTTCTAATGAACACTATCAATCGATGTTTTGTTTTGCATGTTAGCCAAATTCTTCTGGTTTTGGACTGATTAGTTCGAACTTCCATTAAATTATGTACAAATTACATATACAAGACTTGAGCTATATGGGGAACAACACACTAGATTTTTCCCTAGGGAACAAAGATTTATGAACAAGATTTGATGAGTTTGAAGCTTTGGAAACTTGGTCTTTTAAACAGGTTCCCAAACAGGTAGCTTCTGGTTGTCTCTTTGGGACACAAAAAGGAATTCCCTTTAACAATGAGACAGCCTTGTCCTATCTCATTTTGGATCAAATCCAGAGTTTTGGGGTCAACACTGTTCCCTCCCACATCAGTCACAAAGAAACTGTGTTTTGCTTTCCCACCATTGCTGCTACATATTTCTGCTCTTTTGATGCACAATCCATTCTCACGAAATATTCGTGTTATGTCTGAAAGAAGCCCCGATCGATCATCTGTAATCACTTCCAATTCTAGACCCTGTGGGACAACAAATCACGATTCATTCAATGGAAGTTTTTCTGGGTTAAATTATGATTTTCGTCATCGAACATAGTACAAGGACTGAAACCATAATTTGACCGAAGTTGCTGAAACCAGGTTTTTGAATGTAACCTCTGTGGTTCGCCTTTCAATGGCTGCTTCAAGACACTCCATAACTCTTTGTTTTTCAGCCTCTGAGTTTACAGGGAATCCATCAACATGTCTGATATAATATTCCTACAAAAATAAATAAATAAATGAAAACCCAACTTTTAATTTAGCGAAAATATTTGGAATCCTTCCTGTGAATGTGATTTTCAAACCTGATAAGCTTCCATTCTCCCTGTGACAACTGTTCCATGGAACACAACATATTCCATGTCTGTTAAACAGCAAACAGTGTCGAACAACAGCTTCGGTCTATCCAAGCACCTTATCATCACGACCGTGTAATCCCTGTCGCTGCAATGCATCACAGAAACATGGGGTCGCTCTGAGGTTTTAAATTTGATATCGTTTGGCCTCTCGAAATCTCTATCTGCAAACAGAATTTGGTGCAACCTTCGCCCTCTATGAGTCTTCCCTGAAGTTGAAACCGACATTCGTGCTGTTGGTATCTTAGCATCAATGTCCCCTTTCATCACATTGAAGAGTAACTCCTTGATAATCGAAACCCTCTTCGGGTCTTCGATCACGTGCCGTGTAAAGTGGTCAATGACATGGATAACAGCGGCGGCTCGACCGTTGTGAGTCCACATCTCAGCGTTCACCACATCACACTCCATATCTGCTAAAACTGCAGATAACTCGGATAGAAGCCCGGGCCTATCACTTCCGGTTAGTTCTATTAATGTATGATCTTCGGAAGAAGTTGAATCAACTGAGCTCCTCATCGTATTCAACAAATGCACTTTGGTTTCAAGAGTCTGCAGAATTCAACAAAATCGATATCGAATATTGTCCGGATTCGAATTATAACCACACTGTCGACCTAAAGGATTGCTTACTCTCTCTATATAAACGAGGGCACCTTCATCTGTAATTTTGTTTCCATGATCATCTGTCACATAAAACACTGGAGAAACAACAACAAAGTTTGATAAAACATCGGAATCCATTAGATGAAACAGATGTTCGTCGGAGCATACCATCCATGAACCATCCGGCATCGGACGAGACGTATGCTTTGGTTACATTGAGATTCATGTCTGAAAGAAGCTGGACCAATTCCAGGAGAATCCCATGCTTGTATACACTGTCAACCTAAGGAAACAACACAAAAACCATCAACTTTGTCATTTATAGCAGAAGAAGCAGGGATGAACATACCTGTATGAAGGTAGCATTCTCACAGGCGCCATTGTCAACAACAACTCTGCAGAAATGGAAGACAACCCATTGAAGGCAAATCAAAATCGAGATGAAATCTGTGAAAAAAACAAAAGGGGTAATACCTTGGAGGGTTAATTCTCCTGATAAGCTTTGCAAATTCATCCTCCATTTGTGTTCTCTGTAAACAAAGTGAAACCAGGAAGAACCAAATTTAATTACATTGTTGTCTATTGCGTGTATGAGATACAAACGGAGGGAAGTTTCCGGGAGGACATGGCGTGTTGACGTGTCGGATTTCAATTGGTCGAGGCAAACTTGAGATCAACTAAAAAGGCCTTTATTCTTTGGGTGAAATTCAATTCATTCATCACCACCTCTATTGAATTTATAGTCCGTACAGCACGCAATGCACGTGACTGTGTGAGAATTACGTCGCCCATTCACCGTAATGTCACGTGCCATGTGCTGCCGTCGCCGGACATTATCTCCGACAGTAAATAATACTAATCGATAAGTACAAATATTAAGGAAATAAAATAATTACTACTCCGTGAAGAACATAATTACTGCCCCCATATCACCCCCATCCTTGAAAAAAACAAGAAATATATCCTCAATCTGGTTTCCCTTTTTGTACTTTTCCAGGAAAAAGTGTTCAACTTCCTCGAGAAAGGAATTTCGCTTTTTTTGTAAAGATGTTTACATGGAACTTATCTACATATCACGCATAAGATGACAAAATAACAGTATTAAGAACACCAAACTCAATTTCTTTTTTCTTTCATAAGTATGTTTAAAGAGAGTCGTATAACTCATAAATAAATTTATTTGTGAACATAAATGAATCGAATATAACTTTAATCAAATTTATTTACTCTAAAAGTGGTGGAAAAGTCCAGTGCAGTGGACCACTACGAGGCATCGAACATCCATGCTACCAATTCGGGGAGCAACATCGAAGCTATTCTCTTCATTACACGACACAAGCTACAAGTTTAGCAAACTTCCAATCATTACTCGAACAAGAAAATAAATACGGACGAATCTGACTGCTACGGCAAACGAATCACAACAGGGATTAAACTACTGAAAGACTACCGATAAAACACAAATCAGAGTGAAGTATCGTGAGATTACTATCTACGATCGTAGGTTGCGTATCCAAATTAAATTCGAGGGTCCAAAGCAAGGAATATCGGTGAGATAACAAATTAACATCATCTTGATCAGTCGTGACGACGTCAAATTAAATCATGAGAAAAATAAACAACAAACGATCGAAAAATAAAATAAAAAATATGTCAAAAGACAGAGAAAAAAGCGTGCTATAAAAGCGGAGAAAATCGTGCTATAAAGGTATAATTATTAGAAACAAAGAATAAATAAAGAAGTGAGATAAAAAAAAATATCGGCGACAACAATCAACACCAAGATTGATGAAATCACTTGCTAATAAAAAAATGAGAAAAAAAAACCAAAAACAAGAGAAAGATAGAGAAAAAGAGGAAGCAAGAATTAGAGTTTTCTACGTATGATCGATTTCTATAATAACAACGTTATATATGTAATTATGATAAACACAACAAAAAAGCGCAACTATAATCGCAATTTAAATCCTTACCTAAACCATAAATCATCGCAGTTGAGACCCAAAAATAAATGAATTCACCACCGACCCTGTTGTCCATCACTTATAAATTACAAAAACAATAGCTAATCGCATGTCCCATAATCTATTTTCTTCCTTCATAATTTTATAATTTCGTCGTCTCTTGATATAAAATATAATGTCCGAAGATACCATTATTCGTTGTGTTTAGTATTATTATTGTTATTTAAATAGTTTAAGATGATTATAATATAATATTAGTTTTTTAACCGTTGAAATCGTTTTATTCGGTTATGTTTAGCTTTAACATGCATCGTCACTGGCTGCTTTTAGAATTGATTATTATTCTACTGTCACAGTATTCTCAGACAACTTTTGACAGAATTCACAATCTTTTCATCTTTTTCGTTTAAAGGAGACCGTAGCTAAGGAGATACAACAAAGGATTGGTTGCACTTCAGTCTCCAAACCTACACAATTGGGAATCTTTTTGCGGTGTAATATTAGTGACGAATTATGACAAAACAATTTGAGCTTAAAAATAAAAATAATATAGTATCAATTATTCGTTGATATAGTAAAATAAGATTAGAGTTCGAATCCCAGTTTTAAGAATGAAATAAATTAGGTTGTGAATGTCGTCTTATAATAGGTTTTTCAACTAAATCTGAACTAGTTAGACAAGAGATTTATGACGTTGTGAATTGAATAAATTGGATTGATAAAGTCGATTTATAATAATATTTTAGAGTACCAAATCCGGATTACTCAGACAATACAAAATAAACTATAAACATTATGCAGACTATATATCACGCACATAAACTACAGTCCTATGAACATTTATTTATTTGTTTCCTTTCATCAGATTACATCCAGTTGAGGGATAAACGAAAGCATTAATTTAAGCAAAGACATCAACCAAGGCAGATGCAGAATTTCCCTTGAGGCCCTGAAGCACAAGTTGCACTCAGGAATTTCCCCTGCAATGCTTTCTTACACTCAGCAATGCATTGAGGGAGAGTGCACGGGTTGAGCTCGATCCCGAATGCGCCCTCCGCGAGGTTCGAACCCGAAACCAACATCGTCACCACCATCAACATTAACCCTAGCTTCACTCCTTTAGCCTCCATTGGAATACCCTTCAAGTTCAAGCCCCTTTGCTACCTGATATGGAAAAAAACAGCACATCTCATATGCGTATTTATAGGCCGAAATGAGAATAACAGTTTCTTAATGATTCCCCCACTAACAATGGAGGGGCCAGGGGGTTATGTTTTAAAGGTCAAATCGTTTTGAAGGTCCTCGTACACTGCATTCTTTGTGGATTTAGTATATATACTATAATTCGGTCATTTTTAATCCCTTTACTTTTTAATCGGTTTTGAGGTTAAGATATGTGTTGATGGGAAACTATTAGTTGTAAGATGGTAAATGGTTCATCCCTTTTTATTTGTACAGAGAACCACAAATGGTGGTTCTAGTTAAATATGAAAGAAGATGATGCTCAATTCGTTGAGAGATCTTAGGAGGGAGAGTTTCGAGATACCTATGTTTGGATGGGGATTGTGAGATTACCGGCGGGAAAGTTTTTTTCCAGAATGATAACTATGTTTGGATTGCAAAGATTCCCAGTAAAGAGTAATAAGTCATTCCCAACAGTGACATTTTTTGGGCTTATTATCAGGAATGTCATTCTCCCCAATCCCTTAGGTATTATTCTTTTCCCATGAATTTGGACTAAAATGCCCTTAAAACAATTTTTCCCAAAATTTCCTTCTCCCAACCATTGAATAAAAAAATTATACGAAGGGTAAATTACAAATTTATCCTTAAATTATTTTAGATTTACAAAAAGTCTACAATTAGAATTTTATATGAAGTTCAGGGGTTAAAATAAAATAAAACCCTTTCATTAAACTAATTTATCTTTTAAATTTTGTAAAAAATTATATACATTTTATGAATTTAAAAATTTTAAATAAAATATATAAATTAAAAATAATAAAAATATATATTTTTTATGATCTTTTATACAAATATTTTATTTTGAATATTAGAATTCAACTTGTTTAAAAAACAAATATATAACAAGAATAATTTGGTAAAATATACATTACAATAATCTTTTATTCTTTTAATCAAACATTGTAATCTTACATTCATGCTAAACAAACTAAACACAACAATGCAACATTCTCAGTAATGTGTTAGGTAATATTACATTCCGATAATTATATTCCCGGAGGTAATGCTACATTCCATGAACCAAACACACCCTTAATACTAGTGTTAGACCTAAGGTCATGATGTTATTTGCAGGGACGAAGCCATGCCTTGTCTCGGGGGCCACTGACCCCTCCCCTTTTTTATTAAAAATATATATTGGTAAATTTTAAATTATAATTCTTTATTTTAGTTTATTTTGAATTTGTCAATATTTTCTATGGTTACTTGTACTTTGCCCACCTGATTTTTTTATGGTTAGTTATTCTTTGCCCCCTTGAATTGGAATATTGGCTTCGTCCTTAGTTATTCGTAGGTCAATAGAGCTTGTAGATATTGTTTTCAGATAACAAATTTGATTTTGGCAGATCAACTAGTAGTCATGTCACTATATTGTAGTCGGCAGAAGGATATAAAACTTCAAAGGCTTCAATCAACATAAGAGTTCATTTGAAGGTTTCAATTGACAAATGATTAACAACGAAAGTACAACTTACAGAAAGAAAAATCCAAAAGAAACATAACAATATGTGATGACATCAGATGCACAACTTAACAAAAACCCAGATTAGATCTACAAAAGATACATAGTACGAGGGTGTTGTATAAAATTTTGCTCATCTTTGAACCAATAAAGTTGCAGAAAAGAGCACAAGATTAGATAGGGAAGGCATTAAATGTATGAGCCAACCCCATTAAGGTATTATAGTATTGTGTGCTCTACTTTTGCATCCACCAAAGAAACAATGGGGGCATCATTTGCCACTTTTTCTGAGGATGAACCAATCGAAGCTCAACGTTTGGTGTGATGCTATGCCCACGTGTTGCCTTTGTACTTTGCAGATCCAATTGCCAATCTGGGACGAGCACACAGGCCAATCATGCCAGCCCAATTTCTAAAATTGTTTTGTGCCATTGCTTAACTGGGAAACCAAAGGTTCTTTGATGGTGTTCATCCCTCCCTGCTACTGGTCCTGCAAGATTAACCACTCTTTTCTTGACATGAGGTCTTATAGCATTTTGTATTTTATTATATTAGTTTAGGGTCAACATTGCTTCTGAACTTGATTGGGTATCCAGAAAGATTAATCATGGTTTAAAAAAATATGCTTGTAAAAAGCTTTAATTCATTTGGATAACTGCAAGTGTATTATACTGTTAGATATTAGTGTTCTATTTCCTCGTCAAATTGTATTTTTACTGTTATTTTTCTGCATGAGAGATCCTAGGCTTTCATAATAATATTTCATTAGAATCGAATATGTAGATGATATAATATTTAGATCGATTTATATAAATAAAAAAGAATATTATTTTTTCTTAAGACTCTGTATTCTAACAGTTACATAGATACACGCTATCAATTAATTAATAAAATTTTAAATAAATATTAATTCGCATAATAATATTAAGAAAAAAAAAGTTTGATCCGACTTTACCCATATTTATATATATTGTTGGTAATCTAATTCGGGTCTCAATTTAAGGTATTTTCCCGCCCGCCTCCCAATAAAAATCCCTCAAAAAGGCTCTGTGCGGTTTTACAGTGGCGGGAAAATCTAAAATCCTCAGACATTTCAACGTCTATGGCCAGAAGACGCCTAAGGCTGCACTGCTCATCCGACGAAGAAGATGCAGAAAGCCAACAACAACCCCAATACGAACCTCCACAAGGAAGCTCCGCCGTCCGTAACCAACCCGTGACAGTATCTCCTCCTGACCCTAACCCCGCCGAGCCACTCGCGATCTCCGACGACGATTTCGTCGATGCCGGTGAAAGCTTGACTCCTTCTCCGGTGGAGGAAACGTCTGCACCGCTTACATCAGTGGAGAGCTATGGCTCTCCGATTGCTGACTTTCTTTTAGGGATGGGACTCAAATTGAGGAGAGAGTGGCTGGATTCCTGCGTTCAAGGATTAGAGAGCTCGGTCCCTAGGTTTTTGAATCTCGATATTTCTGAAAAGGCGAAGCTTTGCTTTCAACAATTCTTGCTTTCTGATATGAATTACTCCGGCGGCGGTATTCTTCCTGAAAATGTTGATTCTATGCGTCTTGTTGATCTCAAAGGACCCTTTGTTTTGCAGGTTCGGTTGTTTTACTATTCAAAATTATTCATGAAATTGATGTGTTGATGTTTCAAATGTTTGTTCATGTTGAATTCTTATGTATCTAGGTTGATGAGATAGTAAATATCAGTTGTCCGCTCAAGGGAAGGTATCAGGATACACCTGGACTCAAGAGGTGCCTTAAATTATCCATTACAGATGGTGTTCAACGCGTGTTCGGCATGGAATACAGGCCTATCAAAGATCTTCAAGTTTTGACTCCTGCTGGATTGAAGGTTCTTCTCTAGTGCTATCATTGATTTTTAGATGGCATTGCTATTAGGAATTACTACTTTTAGTATTGATGATTTAATTATTCAACTTAAAATCAAATGCTAATAGGTGGAGGGGCTTAACTTTAATATAAAATCACATGACATCTAATACCTAAGAGATGTTAGATAACGCCACTTGACTAGATAAATCAATGTGCATATAGTTCTTGTTCATATTATGCTTAAATTGAGTGCATTTCATAAGGGCAGCCCGTGGTAGCATGAATTTGAATCAATGGCGTATTGACAGCTTTTGGCCTATTAGTATCTGTATTTTTTACTGATCAATTTGGTCTTATGTGGATTTTTGTAATATCTCTTCTTATTGATTTATAGGGTGATGGTAGAACACCTAGATTAGCCTCCTTTTTTTTTTTTGCTAGGTTTGACACATGCACATTTATTCATGTCAACCAAAAGTTTAAAACCTTTAGTTCTATAAGTTGCCAAAGCTTTGATGTAGTCTGGTTATATTTTTTATTCTGTAGGTAGTTATCTGTAATGTGCATATACGACGTGGGCTTCTTATGCTGGTTCCTGAAAGTTTAGAAATTCTAGGGGGAGTGGTTGAGGACCTAGAAGCTGCACGACAGCGCCTTGTTGCTGAAGTAAACAAGCCACCTAGGGGTAAAAGGTATTATTAAATTTCCAAGAATGTATCTACTATTTCTTCTCGCATACATTACCAAATCCAATATCAGCTGGCCCCCCCCAAAAAAAATTATCATTTTTACATCATTGTAGTTTTACTTTTGTTTTCATGTTATCAATAGCTAAAATCAAATGACGTGGCCTTTAAAGGCTGTACAATTAGGGGGGTTGAGTCTCTAGTTCAGAATTATGGTTGCAGCTTCCTAGAGGGATAAATTGTGTTGATTGTAATACTGGTGATGCCTTGTGTAATTTCAATGTTCATATGAATGAAAAAATAGAATAAAACCAGAATGTCCTTAAGGAGAGGAAATGATATATGGTTTAGTTTTATTATTATCAGGACATTCTGATTAGAGTTGTTCCATTGTCATCCTTGTTGAGTGATTGCTGTTAAACCGTTTTGGAACTTGGAGTGATCTTACAGATTATGACTCATTTAATGAGCCTAAAAAATTCACTTGAATCAAGAATCTTTCATTGTTGTTAATTTTTCTCTTTCTCTCTCTATTTTATGCAGAACAAAGACAGGACTGATTCTTCCTTTAGCAACTAGAGCAACTCTTGCTGCATTGCCACTGAATGGTGTTAATTCTGTTGAGCCAACTAACACTTTAATATCTCAAAACTTGGCTCCTTTTTGGACAGATGAAAGAGGTTGTTTATTCTTTGTTTTTGAAATCAAATGACAGTGGTTAACTTTCCAAAGAAAAAAGTGTGCATAAAAAGGATAAGAATGATTGCATGCTGTATATGTTTGTTATAAATGTAATTTTCAAGGGAGATGTTGATTAATGCCTTTTTAGGTATATTGATAGTGATATTAGGATGTCCTGCAGAACAGAAAATGAGATGGAAAATAGTGGGATAAAAAGGAGGATGTTCCCCCTTAGATTGCTTTCTTTTTGCCTGCTCTTAAGAGTTTAGACAGGCCATTAGTGCTTCACTTGAGTTTCAGAATTGGAGGTTGACATTTCTTGTTCAAGAAATGAGAGAATTCTTCTGCTTGGGCTTTTCTTAAATACTTCTAGCCGATGATACATTGAAAATTTTCCCTCTATTCTTTCATCATTTATCTTCAATTATGTGCTACGCTTCTTGAATTAGTGTTAAAGAAATTTGATGGCATTTGAAATTTTGTATGGCTACTTAGCAAATTGAGAGCATATAAATTGATTGCATCTCCATCCCTTCTTTTGCCTATATCCATGCATTGCAGGTGCTACTTTGGTTTCATCTAGCACTGTTACTGAAAGAACTGTAGAGGATCCCACTGCTCGTACGGGTGGGGCGAATGCTGCGCCTAATTCATCATCGGATGTTGCTTTGGATGTTGAGAGGATGCATATTGATAGTGTTTCCAATAGCAGGGAAAATGCTATGTCAAATTCAAACTTGAATACCGCACCAGATAACGAGCACATCCATGTGGTTGAACATCCTCTCATACTGTTGGGAGACCGAGAAGTCCCCTTTACCTACTTAGCTAGTTTGTCAGCCAAGTGGGCTGCTATTAAAGATAAAGCTACGTATGTACAGGGAAAAATTAAGGTATCTGTAGTTACCTACTGAACATTCGTCTAGCATTTTTAAAATGGATAATACAAGATTAGTTGAAAATTCCTTCCATCGTATATTTAGTTGGTTTCTAGTTTCTTAACTGTTTGAAGTTTTTCTCAGTTTTATGAAAATTCTTTTGTAGTGCTTCTTGACTGGTGTCAAGGGATTCCAGTATAAGCAAAGGACAATTTACGAGCTTCTATGTTATGTTGACGATGGTAGCCTCATCTCCGAGATCCTCATTGATCACAATGTATGTTCATGTGAAAGCCTCGTCTCTTTCTATCAATATTGGCTTGCTAATTTGCATTTGTCCTCACTATTATCTCTCTCTAAACTTATTACTTTAAGGCTTATGTCATTGTACCGACAATGCAATGAGCTTATTGCATCTGTTTATATTTCTGAATTCCAGGTTGTGCAGAAAGGAATAGGCCGTTCTCCGCAAGAGGTCACTGCAGCTCTTTCTTCTTCAGACAAACAAATAGTTAGTGGTATGAAGGAGACTATGAGGCAGTTTCAGGCATTTTTAGCACATTTTGAGGTAAAGCATGTCAAACTTCAACTATTTATCAACTATGCATTTTGAATTGTCCTCGTCGGAAAGAGTTCGATGCGCTTTTGTTTTGTGCTAGACGGTGGAAGGCATGACACACTGTAAAAGCTGAAATGGTGTTAAATATTATGGTTTTGTAATCTTGATGGTCGGTTTATTTAATTGCAAAAGTGTCTTCTGCAGGGTTTGATGCTCGTAGAGATAAACAGAACAACTCCTCTCCCAATTGCCAAGGAGATGACCCAGGGCTGTCCTGCATCTGATGCAAGATTGCTTCTTAGAAGATTGACGCCTTCTTCGTGCCGAACTCCGGAGCACCGGCCGTCGGATCCCATCGAGATATCCCATTAATTGGCTTCATGATATGAGTACGTCAGTTTATGTCCTAGAATACAAAATTCACAGATGTTAACTACTGTGTTATTAAATTATGGTACTTGGATTATTCTAGTGTAAATGTTGACATATTATAAAAACTTTTCATATATTTAGAAGATCATATCACTACACCTAACGTGTTTAGAAGTATTATTTTAAAGATTCAATTCAGTTATTGTGAAATATAAAGATTAATTTAAGATTTGTCTCGTGATTTAAACAGTTTTAATGGTAAAATACATTAGAGGTCACTAAACTATTTCTAATGATTATCTTGGTCATTGAACTTTTAAAACTTATAAAATAATCATTAAACGATTACAAAATAATCATCGCGACTTTAAATTCTATTAAAGAGAATGAAAGACACGTTAACTGAATTATTTATTTATTAAATTAACTATAACTAATAAGATGGTGATACATATTAGAATATGTTTTTGGGAGAAGTTGAACCCATAAAACAGAAGAGAATGTTTAGGCACCTGACCACTATACCAAACTATTAGCTTGATTATTTTAGAGAATATATAACTAATATATAATATATTAATGAATATGAAAAAAATGAGCTATGTTTTCTTTTTCTTTCTTCTCTCCTAATTTTGTCATTTCTTTTTTCATTTTATTGCAGTTTTCTTTTGAGAAATCTCGTGTTGTGTTGATGTAGGTGCAAATTCATAGTATTGATTTAAATGAGGTCCAAGAAATTTTAATAAAAAAAATTAATAGTGTATTTCAGTGTAAAACATTAATAATATATCTCAGTATATGATGTTTGCTGTAGACTCGTCTTTTATTAATAATCGTAAGTCTCTTTCTTATCGGAAATTACATTATTATTATTATTATTATTATTATTATAAAGATAATAGAATGAGATGGAAATAATTAAGTGGAATCACAGGGCCAACTGCAAAACATTCAGAACCCAGACATTGACCAGTGTATGTGGGGTTCTTGTCTCAGCACTTGTTTTGACAATCTTGAAAGATGCAATTGGTCGGATATAATGTCAGCTGACAGCCTGACACGCTTCAACTTCAGCTACCTTTGTCACAACTGCAATATATATATATATATATATATATATATATATATATATATTAATGAATCTATTATTGATTAAAAAGAGTGTTGTTTTCCTTTAAGTTTGGATTTAAGTAGTTATGTTTGTAGGATATGTGTGTTTTGTTAATAATTAATAAAGATTCTAAACAAATATTTCCTTATAATCACCACATACATACTATATATATATATATATATATATATATATATATATATAGTAGGAGAGATGATTTCAGTAGAGAAAACAAACCAGTGAAGAAGAGAGCAATGGTGAAAAAGTGGGAGAAGGAAAATTTGGCCTTCTTTCAATCACAAATTATCTTGCACTTTGGTTTGTGTTTGTGAGTTAGCCTTTGGAGGTCTTTTATATATGAAAATATTACATAAATGGAATTAATAAACCTACTAAAATTGATGGATTTACTACCTTAAATATATATAATTGGGTTTTGGTCTGATCGGGTCGAGTTTTTTAAATGTGATGTTCGGGTCGGATTTAGGGTGAAAAATACACGACCCGACCCGACCCGGAAAAATATAATTTTACCTTATATATTTTAGAATAATTACAATAATACTCCCTTTATATATTTTTTTTCAATTAAATCACTATTTTTATTGAATAAAAATAATAATATATTATTATTTCAGATCGGATCAGGTTGAGTTTTTCAGTTATATATCGGGTCGGGTTCGGATCGGTTGAAATCTTGTTTTGGTTGAGTCGGGTCAGGTTCGGATCAGGTGGACCAAAAATTCGACCCAACCCGACCCATGCCCATCCCTGAGTTTGATTCTTAAGTTCAGTTCATTTTGAGTTACATGATCAAATAATTTAGGGTTTTGATCATTTTGGATTTTTATTAGACAACTCGATTATCAAATCCGATTAAATCAAGTTCAGATATATGTCATAAACGATACATTTATAGTATTTATAATGTCGAGCCTACCTTACCGGGTTCTGTACGAGTACTTGACCAGTCGGGGAGTCACAATTGTTATTCCGATATTAGAATGACCAATCTCCGTTCTCAGCGTCTGGTAGAAGGCTATCAGTGCTGTCTTGCTTGCTTGAACCACTCAATTTTCACATATCATTAAATAAAATAAAAGAAAGACTAGTTTGCACATAAATCTAGGGTACAAGGGCGTGGGCGTACCAAGTAATTTAACCTAAAATAGATGATGAAAAATTGGCTTACGTTGTAGAAACTGGTGCGTGGGAAATGATACCATCCAGCTGCGAAGGCCAAGACGATGATCATCCCTCTGCTTTTTCTGAGCTGTGGAATGGCGAAATGGGAGCTATATGCCATTCCCCAAAAGTTCACGTCCTTTGAATTTTAACAAAAAAATTATTATAATGTGGGGGTAAACTACATATTTAGTCATCCAACTATCACTTTAGTTAAATTTTGGTCATTCATTGTTAAAAAATAGAGAAAATCACCTCAGTGACCAAAAATGCCTTATAATATACGATTTTAACCAACTTTTTCCGGATTTGCCAAAATAACCAACAAAATCGCAATGCGATCGCTAATTCGCAACGCGATCTCCATTATCGTAAAATTCGCGTTGCGATAGTTGGAAATCGCGTTGCGATGGTCTACAGTGTCGTTGCGATTTTCCCAATTCGCAATGCGAATAAGTAAATCGTAACGCGAATTGGGAAAATCGCAATGTGATACTGACTATCGCAATGCGATACTTACTATCGCAATGCGACAATACAAAATCGCAACGAGATACTGACTTTCGCAACGCGATTTACATAGCACCATTCGTATTAACGCATATTTTTTTTTTCAAATTCCAAACACGAATTTTTTCTTAATAAATCGGAAACTGAACTGTCCACAGTAATCGCAACTCATAACCTCAAACCCAAAATCACAACACTCAGTCCCATCTCCATCTCTTACTCTCTACGGCGAAATCCGTCCCCATCTCCGAAGATTTCCGTCCCCATCGCCGGCGAAATCCCTCACAACCATTCACAGTCAAAAATCCCTCACAATCATTCAGAAATGGAAAATCAACCTCCGATGGTTAGTTTTGTTTTATTTTTATTTTGAAATTTTTGCATTATTTTAGGTTTTTCATATTGAGATTGATGATAAGTTTACTGGTAATTTCAATAATAGATTAACCATTTCACTTAGATTTCTTATGAAATTCATTCGATTGCTGCCAATACTGCTAAACTGTTTAGCCTGTGAAGTTAGTATTTGTCTTTGTTTTGTCTTTTGGTTGAAGTAATGCAGAAGAAGAATAGTTTCGAGAATGAAAATCGCAACGCGGAAATAACTATCGCAACGCGAAACCAAAATCGCATTGCGATTTTCATTTCGCGTTGCGATTTTCATTTCGCGTTGCGATTTTCATTTCGCGTTGCGATTCTCTCGTTGCGATAGTCATTTCGCGTTGCAATAGTCATTTCCGCGTTGTGATTCTCATTATCTCGTTGCGATTTTCATTTCAACCAAAAGATAAAACAGTGTTGCAAATTTTAGTTTCAAGAATAAACTACTATTTATGTTTATTGTTTTTGGTATATCTTGACAGTGTAGTTTTTGGTATATCTAACTTGGTATGTTTATTGTTTTTGTAGAAATTATTTTCGGCTTCATTGACATTAAGGAATAAAGTTAGCCTAGCCACTACAATTGCTTCGAAGCTTTCACCTGCACAAAGAAAATTGTTTGAGGAAACCTGCTTCGGGCCATGGCTGAGAGTACAACATCCGGGTGGAGATGCTAATTTGACCCATTTGTGGCTTCAGACCATAACTAGAGATCTACCCGACAGTATACAACGTGGTGAGGAAGAGATATGGTTTCATTTTTCACCGGCGTATACTTGTTTTGGGCGGAAGGAGTTCTGCTTAATCACTGGTCTACGATTCGGACACGATGATGTAGGCCGGTACACTCGTCATATCACCCGCCCATCATAGTTATCCAGGGTTTTTCCTGATGAGTCAATAGAGAAGCCGAACTTACACGTCGACGACATGAAGAAATTGTTTAATAAGAAAGATGGTTTTACTCGGATGAATGACGTCGATGTTGTCCGAGTATGCCTTCTACTACTTTGTATGCCGACTTTTTAGGCAGAGAGGCCAGACAACCTGTTCCTCAGGAGCTAATATTATTGGTAGAGGACCTAAATGCATGGAATCTGTTTCCGTGGAGTTCGTATATATGGAAAGCTACCTGGACTAAGTTGTCGTCTGCCTTTGATGACTGCAAAAGTTTGCGGGGCGATGGGTCGAAATACACTTTGTCATGCTTTGTTTGGGCCTTTAAGGTAAGAATTTCTATATAATGTTTTCAAAATTATAATTAATTATTTAACAATTACTAATGTTTGTTATTATATTGTTTGTTGATTTGGATATTCGAGGCCTTTCCCGCCATGAAGACATATGCAATAAAAACTTCAAATGATATTCCCAGGGCTATTTCCTGGAAGAGGAAACGTCTGTTGGATTGGGAAGACTTAATACCATATGCGACAATAAATAATGTAAGTTAACACAAATACTATCATATATAAACAAGTTATTAATAGTAGACGTTTAACTTTGTTTGAGTTTTTATATTTTTAGGAGGCCAACACTCCATTAATGAGACTGACACCCACGGAGGCTGAGCTTGCCACTGATTGGTGGCAAGCTAGTCAGCGTTTTCTTGATGGCACGAATGATGAGCAGCCTCCACTTCCTCCACTTCGAGAGCCATCACCTCACCCAGAGCCATCACCTGATCGACCCGACTATACACCTCTACAACGAGAGCCATCACCTATCCCGTCACATCGTCGAGCCTCTTCTCCACCATCACCTCATGATAGGCGACCGGCAAAGATGCCACGACTTCTATCTCCCTGTTCTCCACCTCCACCTCCACGGGATGAGTCAAGGGAG